AGTAGAGGATATCATCAAGAGGCGTCGTGCGTGCTGGCACGTTCAGGTATACTACTGGGGCTGAAATATCGAAGGTCGCAGCAGCCTCTGAAAACGGTCCGAAATCTGCGCCGGAACCAAGCGGAACCCAACACTTGTCACAGCGGTGCTCACCACCACGGACCGCAAACCCCTCAACTGCGGGTTGTCAGCAGTAGCTGGTGGCATCAGCTACTGCTGTAAACCTGCAGTTCAGAAGATTGGGTTCAGTGGCGGCGAGCACAAGCAGTACAAGACACTGGGTGTCGATCTAACTTGCGGAGATTTGCGGAGATTGTGGGCCACTACAACGACACTCGATACCACCACCACAGAAGAAGTTTTGAGCGCGCCAACACACCCCCCCGCTGCTATAGGGTGTCCTCTAGTGATATTGGTACAATGGACCAGGTTCCTAGCAACACCGGCCTTATTTGAGCGCCTTCCGTTTGGGCTCTTTTGACTTGAATTTAGACTGGTGTGGATTTTTATCTTGGTTTCAAAGGATGCGTGTGGAGGTAGACGCGCGAAAAGCACGTTTTGAGCGGTCTCTACTGCTGCCCTGTGCCAGAATTTTGGACTTGTTTTTTTTGCGATGCCTTCCGACTGGTCTTATGTGTCTCTAGTGCATTTTCTGGCGCTCTTGCGTTTGTTTTCGAAATTAGGCAACATAGCAGGAGGTTGTCCGGGTACCCTTAACGTGAGCGTCCTTATAGCGGGGTCGACTGTAGAGCTTTAATTCTCTCCTAGGGACGAAGGGAAAAATGTCGCTCGCTTCGCTCGCTCTGCGGCTCATGATCATGCTTGTGGGATCAAGTAGCTCTGGAGCTGTACGTCTATATCTACTGCTGGAGGTACACCGTCTGCTGTTGTATCATCATTGGGAGCTGTGCAACACCACAGCTGTAAGGCTACCGCACAGGAGGCAAGTTGCACTTGCCGCACCAACCTTTGTTGAAGTTCTTCTGACGCCGACGGAACAGCTCCTGACGTCGTCGACATTGAACAGCCTGGCCTTTCTCGTCTCCAAGTGGCGTGGCACTGACTCCCAGGCGCCCAAGCAACTACTCGCGCTGAGCAGCGGTGTGACTGCTGATGCCCTGCAACCCTTGGGACAGCCGCACGAGAGGAAGAGAGCCAGACGCTTCGCGCTGCCAAGCTTACCAGCATAGAAAGAGCACCTGTGCGACCCCAGACGAGCACGACAAGTACCGCACCGACAGTCTTCTGGTGGTCACGAGTCATCAACCACGACACAAGGCTTGGAAAGCGGGGTCGTGCGAGGCGAGAGGCGTGGATGATGCCGATGCCGATGTGTCCGAACTTCGCCTCCGTGCATTTTTAGGGGATTGGGGCAAAAAAACACAGGAGGCGTTCTTTCTTCGCCGATCGCACGCTCCCAAGATTTCAACTGTCTGGGATCTGGGAAGGTGCTGCTTGCCGACGATCCCCCCCACTCATGGCCCTCTTAATTAAAGGGGGGATACGCCGGCCGTGGGAGATGATAACACGGAGTTATTCTCACACGTAAGAAGCAGAGTAAGAAGAACGGAGGACTTCCAACACGTGCGCAACAGGTACGTACGTGAAGTATCGCGGCGCATCTCTGCGGGACCGCAAACGGCGCGGTGTTGTAAACGATCCTATCCATAGAAAAAACAGTTCGAACGTCCGAACTTACTACTGTAGACCTCTGTCACCGTTTCGTAGCCAGCGCGCACAAGGTTTCCTGAAAAATCTGATCTTCAACCGTATTGGAGCATTTGTTTGTTCTACACCATCGAAACAATGTCTTGAATAACTACCTAAGTTCGGGACAAACAGATTTTCACCTCAAGGGTCAGTCAACCACAGCAGTATCACTTTCCGTCGCAACTCCGAATCCAAATTAAGGCGACACATGTGCTCCTCTTCAACACGTATTGTTATGTAGACCCACTGCCTGTCAGGGTACGGATCTACTTGTTCGATGCTCACGTACGTACATGTACGGCTATATCAACAGCAGTGGCATGTATCAACAACAGTGCCAGGGACAACAAGTGACCACATGCCACGTCACCGCAGCCAACGTCTAACAAATTGTGTCAAATGTCGCCCCCGCCTGCCACAGGCGGCATCACTTGTTCTGGGGCTTCTTTTTGTTGAAGGAGACCCGCTGACGCACGGTCCGGTACCCCGCACAGATCTGGCACACCCATGCTCCAGCATTGGGGTCCTCCCTCTTGATATTACCGCCACCATTCCACACGGTAGACTTGTCTTCCACAGCCGTGGGCTCCTTGCGACGGCCTGGCCTCGTACGCGACTTCTTCGCCGAGGGGGGGGGGGCGACGAGTTCCGCAGCTGTCTCCATGCCGTTCGAGTTCTCCCGCATGGCGCAGTCTGCGAAACAACGACAGCAGTGAGGAGTCGTGTTACAAGGCGACCGGAGGGAAGGCTTGACTGATTGCTACGCGCCGTACCTGCCCCCTGTGTTCAAAACTTGTCCATTGGTTGGTCACGACCCATCTCTCCAGCAAAAAGTGGTCCCCTGAAGCGATACTTGATACCGAAAAAAACAGCGTTGAGAGAAAATATATCGCCCACCTTCGGAAGCATGGACGGAGGTGTGGCACTTCCAGCACGTAGTCATCGGGAGCCCCGGCGACTCCCAGAGGTGGCACGAGTCGCAAAGGTTTGGGTGAGTGTCGCACACCTGCACGGGTCGACGAACGAGGAGAGAGTGGGTATAAAAGCAAGGGAAACCTCTTAACGTTGCGACAGCAGCGTACGCGGGATCGAGCTCTGAGGGCCTATCGCCTTGGGAGTGTATGTTTAATCAAACTTAAGGCAGGCAGCTAAACACGCTCAAGTCTTTTACCGTCACGCGAAATTTCTCACCGACCGGTGGTTGGCAAGCATCTCCTTCGTTTCGACAATACGCATGTACTTCCAAGGGTAGCCTGGGTGCCTGTTGCTGGATCTCCCGCCGTTGTGTTCTAGCCAGTGCCCTCCTGCAAAACAGACGGAGGCCGGGTAATATGAGCTGCGCGACCGAGCAGACAATGCGCTACCGCCTGAGAGTACGAAGGATAAACCATCCGACGAGTCGTGAGCTTCCCGCCTGGAGCGAAAGCAGTTGAGTCCGAATGGCCGACTCCGTACCTCTTGTTTTGAGGACGTTAAATCACGCTTTGCTGTGGAAACGTCCGAATTCTGCGTCCAAACCGGAGCGTAAGACATCCACGGGACTACTGTAGGTACCGGTCATTTTACTCCCGGCTACACTGAGATGCCCACAACAAGGTCAACTTACTCATGAACAGACCGTGCTTTCCCAAGGGTGAGGATTGAGGAGGTGGCCGCGGGGAAATATTAGGAAAAACTGCCTGATATCGCGGTAGCGTAGCGCTAATCCAACATGCACAACAGTTTGTTCAGGTGGACCCCTCCTGTACAAGGTTAGGAATCAATGCTCACCTTTCATTGTGATTCCACAGCCACATAGGCAAATGATGGCTAGCCCATCGAGGATTCCCTGTTTCTTTCGCCCCCTGTATTCCTCATCGTACATCTCCAACACTTGACCCTGAAAGACGAACAGGGTGCGTACAAGACACCACAGAGCTTGCTTGAGCGAAACCGGGCAGTGAGGAAGAGCGGGGACAGGCCAGAGGTCCCGTCGGCAACGACCCCCAGGAGAGACATCAACATCTACATGCAGCCACCGTTAGACCCTGCTCTACCCTGCTCAGCGACAATTCATGCATACCAGGGACCACGAGGTTCCGGGTGGAAATCGTGATCTTCGAGCTTGGAAAAGGGTGCCCCGTAAACACATGGTGGCTCAAGAGCAAAGGTCCGCTTGGGGGAGAGGAGACAGATGGCTGCAGAACAGAGTGATCGACCGCAACGAAGAGCTGTGCATGGTTTAACGATCGACCCTAACGGTACTTCTTGCAGTCATTGCGCTTGCGTGAAGCACCCTTGGCAACTACAAACAGCCCCAGCTAAGTTCGGCTCTCATCGTTGTGAGTGGACGGAGGTCAGCACACGCTCTCCGAACAATCTACATACCTACGCCGTGTCAACCGCAAGCACAAAGAAAACAAGCTACACCTGCAGGTGGTGGCAGTGGACCCTGTCGCGGGGCCTGAGTCGATGAGGAGTGGGTTCACCACTGGGCCTGCTGTTCCATGAATCCGATCCGCGGGTGGCCGTATCCGTGACCTTGCCAGCCGCGACAGGAGTATCCGACCGCGGGAGCTCATCCCCGCTGTCCTCCGAAATCATGCGGCGGGTAGTCCTAAGGCTTCGGTTAGGCCTCGGAGTAGCCTGAGGCAGACAAGCAAGCAAGTGGGCACCGAACACGGGTGAGGGGCATCGCCACGTAGAGGATATGCACGGGGGCAGAGCGTTCGGGCGTTCCTTGGTCTCCAAATAAATACTTTTACGCCGCCGATGCCCCACAACGGGGTCCAAGTGTTGCTAGCGGAGACGTTGGTAGTAGCCCTTGATGGGAAACGTTGAGTATAGCGAAACACAGTAGACAGTCGTTCACCAACGTATAGACAAGAACATGCTAGATTTGATTGCAGGCAGCATGCGCCGCCGGACAAGCTTTGGATAAATTCGAAGCCTGCCGCGCTTTGGCATCAACCAATCGGGTCTTGCCGACAGGGAGGGGGCTTCAAGAATATGAAACAAACCTGGTGGGTACGTGTTGCCTACATCTGGTGCTCACCTCACCCGGACGGCATCGATTGCTCCACAAAGCAAGAGGACTCATAAACTTGACCCCAACAACACCCAAAAAGAGCGCCTAGAAAAATTCGACATGAAACGACAGCAACACGTCTGTCTCACCGACGGCACTGAAACCGGCGAGGACGCCTTCTGCCTTTTCTTGGGGACTTCGACGCCTTTCCCCTTGGCCTTGATTTTCTGGCAAGACGACGAAAGGGGACACAGCAGTGAGGCATCGCGACCACGCGAGCCGGGGTTAGCGGACACAGCTTAACGCTTCGACAGGAACATGCCGCGACGTTACACCTTTTGGTTAGTTGCACCAGGCGCCATCGACTACTTGCGCCGCGATCGTGTCACCCTCATGCTTCCAAGAGAGCAACACCTAGGGTGCCTCCTTCATGGTAAAGCTCGGTCTCCGGCGTGGCATCTCTTTTTCATTGCAGAGGGAAGCACAAATCGACCCGCAAGCGAGCCGTAGCGACGTGCACAGACAGGATTCCAGCAGTTTCTCAAATTTTTACACGTCCACTTTACGTGGTGTTGAGGTGCGGTCGCTCCCTTGGCTCGCCAGCGGGAAGGAGCAAGCCCCGTCCTCGAACAGACACACAACACCAGACCCAAAGCACGTGAGATGTCACCAAAGACACCCGGACCTTGTTCGCCTTCAAAGCTTCTGCTTCCTCGGCATTGGCCAAGTTAGTCCACTCGACCTCCCTCTCTTTCCGCTGTGCGTGGAAGGACTTTTCCCTGCTCGGCTTCCCGATGAACCTGAAGGTCACAGGCAGACAGAAAGGGAGCGTTAGTTGCGAAGCATGTCCCATGGATTGGCCTATCTCAAAGTTGGCGATGTAGCCAATAATCATCACAACACGTACGCACATCACCACGCCAGCCCAGCACCGCAAAGCACACAGATGAGAGAACAACAAGAGGCTCGTCTCCACAGAACTCACGGTAGCAAACGCCCTTGGAACTCGGCACCCTCGCGCTCACACATGCGAAAAACAAGGCCTCGATGCGTGTCCCATCCTTTGGTAGGACGCGTCTATTTGTAGTCCACATGACACAAAAACGTCGAGAAGGGTCGCACGGCTGCAGTAGTTTGTAAAACTAGCAAAAAACGCTGCAGGAGGCTTGTTGGACGACTCGTCAGAGAATGGCGGTAGCCTTTGCCACAGCGCCACACAACATCGTGCTGCAGCACCAAAGAGTCGACAGTTCATCCAAGCACTGCTGTGCGCCTAGATGGGAGGTAGCATTTGGGCGGCTGCCAACAGCAGCGATGACCGCCGTAAAGCGCCTCTCATAAAGGCTTGCACCCGAGCCTCGTTTACTCGTAGATGAGTCGCGGACGGGACCCTTCTCTCACTTTGCACCAGACGTCAGCCCTTTCCCGTAGGCCCGCGCTAGGTAGCGTCCGACATCCACTGTGGCGTGCATTCCGCTCGGCGACATCTTCTTCCGTGCCATGGCCGTCTGCGCCAGCATTTCCTCCAAGAGAGGGTGAGGGAAGCCGTGGAACGTCGCCTTCAGAACCCAATCGAACGGAAGACGTGCCGACAGAGAAAAACAACGGGGTCATTACAACACGTTACGCTCGGAGCCACGGTTGCGAAGCAAGGCGGCGACCCGAGCACAGGGCTCAGTGCCAACCTCACACGGCATCCCACGGTATCGATCTACAACTCGGCAACTATGCAGGAGGAACACGAGAATCTGCCTGCGTCGCCGTCGTGTGTAGCTGTGCGTTTACCCCGAAGAGCAGAAATCCTTAGCCGTTGTGAGGCTGCTCCTCTTTTTTTCGTCGAACCCACTGCTAAATAGTGCTCACACTTGTAACGATCCGTTGGACAAACGCTACGTGAGCGTGACGCCGACCGTGTCTGCGTGCTGCCGCCTCACCTTGCTAGGGCGCTTGAAGTCGGGTTGGCCTGTCTTGGTGACGTGGTCCTTCAGAGCATCCAACACTGGGCCACGGTCGCACTCCACAACGCACGTGTCCAACAGCCTGCCCACATCAACCCAGGTGCATGAGCAGGGCGGACTCGATTATTGAAACGTGAACATAGAGGCACTATTGACTGCCTATGGTTGATGTGCAACACGTTTGAGAGATGAAACCGCGAGCAGGAAGGGAGAGGTGCATCCTGTACACGGGTCTCCAACAGGACAGGTGCCGTTTTGGACTCCTGCTTTTCCCGACAATAGACGGCTTCGGAAGTATTCTTGGCAAAATCTCACTTTCACTTTTAACAGCACCGTTCCTGGGACCAGTCCCGTGTTGTCCGAAGGTTTTACTTATAACGATGTGATGTCACAATATCACCATAAGGGAACCTGATCAGCACAGCCCGCGACCAAGTCACCATCTCTCCCAAAACAGATGCTTGCATTCGGGTGAAACCTTCGACGCTGTGTGCTCCACAGCTCTGAAGAACTTGCCACCAACCGAGATGGGTCTGAGTGGAGCGTTGTGAGCGTCTTGTGACAGAGGACCCAACGTTTTGGAGCTAGAATACATATATGCACGCACCCAGACAGGGTGTGCGCACGCAGCAACAAACGCACGCAGCACGCCCAAATGCTCGTCGCTCTCTCGCAACGCATCCCGCCAATCTTCATGNATGCTTGCATTCGGGTGAAACCTTCGACGCTGTGTGCTCCACAGCTCTGAAGAACTTGCCACCAACCGAGATGGGTCTGAGTGGAGCGTTGTGAGCGTCTTGTGACAGAGGACCCAACGTTTTGGAGCTAGAATACATATATGCACGCACCCAGACAGGGTGTGCGCACGCAGCAACAAACGCACGCAGCACGCCCAAATGCTCGTCGCTCTCTCGCAACGCATCCCGCCAATCTTCATGCCAGAGCCAACAACGCACAAGGCAGCAAGATGCCCTAGGATTTGTTGTGGATCATGCTGCATAACATCGTGTTGTAGTAGGTGTCCAGCCGCTGCTGCTGTGGGCGGGTGTGTGTGTTCGAAAAAAATATGAGCGAGCTGTGGCCCGACATCAAGTTGACAAGCAAGTCTAGACTAAACCTTCGTCAGTGCCGAAGCATGAGCCCTCCCACTGCTGGCAGTAAGCTCTACTAGAGTTGGAGGTGGAATAGTTTTTCGTGGTGGTTGCACAAAAGTACCTGCAGTAGGCTCGTGCGTCTGTTGATTGGCTGGCTCGTGTGATTTTCTCGTCGTACAGAAGAACGGGGGGCGGTCCATCATCACCATCACCAGCTAGAGAGGGGGGTGGTATCCATCATCATTCGCTAGAGGGGGGGTGGTGTCCATCATCAGCTAGCGAGGGGGGTGATACCCACCGTCAGCCGTGAGGGGAAGGGTGCTATCAATCGTCATCAGCTAGTGAGGAAAAAAAAAACGTTGAAAAATTCCCCGGCGGCTGGTGCTGCTGCTGCTGATTGTTTGAACAGGACGCTTCCGCCACCGCTTTAGATAACAGCAACAGCAGCAGCAGCAGAGGCGACACACCCTCTCGCCCACAATGAGTGTAGAGAGGTGCACAGCACAGCAGTGGTACTACATCGTCTAGGAACGAGCGTGATGTGTTACTGGTCCCGTGCTGTGATGTATGTGTGCCTCTCTCCAGAGCAGAGTCAGAGGCCGCTCCCTCCCGCCGCGTCGCAACACAATAACAACAACCAACCGATGGACCCACAGAGACCCAATCAATATCTCTCCTCTCGCTTCCTCCGCCGAAAGCTAGCAGCAGCAGTAGTATAGGGCACACCCTGCTCCCGTCCCGCTCTCGCTGTGTGGTGTGTGCAACACACGCTGGTTGGTGGGACTCCCTCTCTCTCCAGAGAAAAAAAGGCGACAACAAGGCCGGCAGCCTTGAACAACAACAACAAACAACGGAGACAACAGCAACAACATCATCAGCGATGAATGAACCCCAGACCAACCAAACGTTCCCCGCTTCCTCCGCCGTCGCCAACAGCAGTATGTGTGTGTGTCCCGCCCCCCTTGTCCATGTTCCCTGTCTCTGTGTAGTGCGTGTCTTGCCAGTAGCAGCAGCAGTGTGTGCAGCACGGCAGTGCGTCGTGGTTTCTTGCGTGCGTGTAGTTTGTTGCACAAAAAACAACAAAAATAACGCCTCCCGGGGATGCGTCCATGTGACATAAATATATTTGCACAAACGGTGTGCTATCTCGAGACACCGACCACGGATTGCAAAGGTAGCGGTTGGGACAGCTCGGGCAAAATATTACTTGTTGTGCGCAAGTTTTAGTTTGCAATTTGGTGCCGAGATGGTGAAATGGGCTCGAGTCTGCTGGGTATTTAGGGCGCGCAGACACCAGACACCAGACACCAGACACCAGACACCAGACAGCCATGGCTAAATTTTCACGCCCCTGTGCATGAAAATTATTCTTTTTCTCGTGCGCACATACTCCACACACGATCCCTCTAAACAGCTTTTTTTTGCAAAACAAAACAAAAAGCGTACCCCTAACGGGCCACACTTTTCGCAAAAAAAAAACTATTATGACCGTCTGCGGGCATGCGTTGGTGGGGTAGGTGTGCAACAGCACCCGACCCATCCTGGCGTGGTGTTGACCAAACAAAGCAGCTAAAAGCTAAAAGATTAAAAAACTTGAGAAAGTTCAGCATTAACAGACGCCAGCTGCCCTTCGTGCTAAAACAAATCTTCCTAGGTCCGAAAGTTCATTTTATGGCGGCCATTAACTGGCTCTTTCCCCTAAAAAGGGAAGTGATTTTTTCAAAACGTACGTCCGAAACTCGCCAATCGTACAAAACATTTAGTCGGTCTCTCTCGTTGGTTTATGTAAATACAGCAGTAGTCCTGCTGTAAATCATCAGACGCACGGAATGGAACATGACCACCGCGGCACGGACAGCCCTGGCGACCGCCCTTGACAAGCGACGGGCTGCGCGACATTCCTTCAAGGCCGGACCGAACGCAGCAACGTGGAGGATCCTCAAAGCAACGTGCAAGGGGGTGAAGGCAACAATCGCAACGAGCATCTACGACCACCTGGAAAGATACGTGACGGAGCTCGAAGCGATCTACCAGGACCGCGACATGCGGGGGCTGTACCAACACCTCAAGCGGTCAACGGGCCTCAGCGGGAGACAAGCTGGGGGGCAGCAGTTCGTTACAGACGAGAACGGCGTGCTACTCCGGAACAAGGATGCCATCCTCAAGCGGTGGCGGAGATTCTTCAATACCCTCCTGAACTCCAAGTCCCCCACTCTGAACCCAGACGTTGTCGAACAGGTGATGCAGCGACCAGCGACGCGCGCCACCCGACACCTGGCGGCGGTACCAGACCTCGAGGAGGTTGAGGCGGCGACGAAAGGCCTGGGGAACTGGAAGGCGGTTGGTCCCGACCTCCTTGCCGCCGAACTGCTCAAGGTCGACGGCGACGACGAGCCAGTTGTACTGGAGCGCCTCCGTGCCATCTTCGTCGAAGTGTGGAATGGGGGAGAGATGCCGCAGGAGTGGAAGGATGCCATCATTAAGGTGCTGTACAAGAAGGGTGACCGTTCGAACTGCAACAACTACAGGGGCATCTCGCTGCTCTCGCATGTAGGCAAAGTACTCGCCAAGACCATCACCAACCGCCTGAGCGCATTCTGCGAAGCCAACGAAATCCTCCCGGAGGAACAGTGCGGGTTCCGGCCTGGCCGATCCACGGTATGCATGCTGTTCGTTGTGCGCCGACTCCAGGAGCTGGGGCGGAGGAGGAGAATCCCGCTCTACATGTGCTTCATCGATCTGCAGAAGGCATATGACTCGGTGGACCGGGAGCTACTGTGGAAGGTGCTGGCCCGGGCCGGGATCCCCGGGGAGATGATCGCCGTCATCCGCAAGTTCCACGTCGGAATGCGGGCCCGGGTCCGCACGGACGATGGGGAGCTATCGGACTGGTTCCCGGTCACGCAGGGATTACGACAAGGGTGCTCAATGTCCCCACTGCTGTTCAACGTCTTCTTCGCAGCGCCTCTCGAGATCATTGTCACACGGTTCAGCCAAGATGAGGTTATCGTGCGGGACCTAGTGTACTTGAAGGAGGAGGAACGGAGGGGGGAGGGATTGCTGGACCGAGTCCGGAGGGCGGTGTGGGGGATGCTATATGCCGACGATGCCGGCGTTGTGTCGAAGTCCGCCGACGGCCTGGCGAGGATGATGACCATTATCGTGGAGGTGTTCCGGGAGTTCGGGCTGACGGTGTCGGAGAGGAAGACGGAGACCCTGGTGATGCGGGTGAAGGAGAGACAGCGACCGCCGCCGCCGCCACCGCCGGTGCTGACCATCGAAGCAGCGGGGCAAAGGTACGCACAGACGACCGAGTTCCGATACCTGGGCGGCCTCGTCAACGAGCAGGGCGACCTTACCCGAGAGATCAACCACAGGAGCAAAGCAGCGTGGGCGTGCATTAAGCGATACGCCACGGAGCTCTTCGACCGACCGGGAGCACCGTTTCGCCTCAAAGCCCGCCTGCTCCAGGCGGAGGCAGTGGAGGCACTGCTATACGGCTGCATGACATGGTCCCCACGCCGCAACCACTACGGAATGCTGCAGACGACACACCACCGGCTACTCCTGCGAGTCATCGGCTACCGGCGCAAACGAGGCACCTACCGGCAGCTGTCATACGCCCAGGCGCTAAAGAGGGTCGGCTGCCAGAGCGTGGAGGCCACTGTCCGTCAACGGCGCCTGCTCTTTGCGGGGGCCGTGGCAAGACAGCCGGACGGGCGGCTTCCGAAACGGCTGATGTTCGGCGAGTTGGTGGGAGGGGAGGACCCGGGCCAGGGAAACCCGGAGCAGAACTGGCTGACATGCCTGAAGGACGACATGAAGATGTTCGAAGCCAGGTACGGCTCCACGACCGACAAGCCGAGCGTCTTCGGAGTCCCGAAGTTAGTCTGGAGTGAGGCGGCGAAGGTGGAGGGGGGGGTACCGTGGCACGCGGGGGTGCTACAGGGAGCTGAGAGGTTCATGGCCTCTTGGCACAAGGGCAAGGAGGAGGCCAGCCGACAACGAGCCATCAAACGAGGAGACAGCGGGCCCAAAAATAGTCTAGATACGGCACCAATCAACGGGGCGGTAGGGGGGCGGAAGGAAACGGCGCGGCGGGAAGAAAGCAAGCGAGAAGAGACCGACCGCGTGACGTGACATGTTGCGGTCGAATTTCAACGACTAATTTTTCTGTTGCCCTCTCCCCCGTTTGCTGTCGCGTTCAGACTGTCTCTAGGGATATCCCTGTCTCTGTGCGAGTTTGTTTGTGTCCTCGTCTTTGCTTTATTCTGTTTTATTTTGTCTTTTGTTTTGTTTTTTACTGGCACGTACCCCCGCCCCTTCCTTTGGCCGTCGACCTGCCTCCATGTAGTGGGAGGCTACCCCCCCAGGCTGGTGGTGCGGCCGTTCCACTAGTCTAATTATTTATTTTATTTTATTTTATTTGTTTCTGATTATATTTTGTTTTCTTGTATTTTATCGCTCTGCTGACCCTTGGGGTCCATTTTATTTTGGTATACCTTTTCTAGGTACGTTAGCCTGTGACCACGGAAATTGGCCGAGTCAAGTGATGGATTAGTACGGAGAGATTGAGACAGAAGGAGGTACTGGATAGAGAGACCGGGATGGTTTTTAATGTGAAGACAACAACAACAACAACAATGGTACGTCCTTGTCTCAGCAAGATGGCATCGCACATGTTGTTTTGAATACAAGCACATCGGTAGGACAAGTTATCTCGAGGTCAACAAATTCGCAGTCGACTTACCTCGTGAAGTCATCGATGAAACCATTCGCATCCTTATACCGCTGCTCTGACACGCTCGCCCTGATCCCCTTCATAAGCGCGTGCTCCGTAAACATGGGCTGCTCCATCAGCTTCTCCATCGTGTACATTGCCACGCGAAACAGTGGACAAACCGCGGGAATGATCTCTATGTTTCATGATCATCCAGCTGCAGTTCGGGAGAGAAGTCCGTACCAACGTCTCAAGTCGCCATGAGTTGTCAGTACCAGGCAGCCTACAGCAATAGCGTCTGCTCAGCAAACAGGAGTTACTGGAGGATTTAAATTCAGGTGTGCTCTGTGACACGTCCATCTATCTTACACAGCAGTCCGTCGTCACTCTAAACCTTCTCACCATGATCCGCTCGTGGCCGTCCACGAGGCGTGCTTCTTCCTGCAACGCCACATTGCAGCAAGAGAACAACCGCCGGTGGAGCTCAAGGCCGCCGGAGGACGCTTGCTGAGATCCTCCTCCTCCTCCTCCTCCTCCCTGCGAGCAGGGGGCCTCGTGCCAGCTACTACCGCGCGAGGCAGCGGTCTCAGACATAATCCTGATAGCAGGGTTCCAAGGGTATGGAACACTCACACTCAGCACTAGGCTCGTAGGTCGCCCGAGCTCTCGTGTCTACGATGGAGCGCCAGATGGCAGTCGACACAGCTGCTGGCTGCTGGGGGGAGCCAGCTCACAAGCCGAAAGCCTACAGGGGGTACCGCAGATGCGAAATAATACATGCCAGGAGATTCCTCCGATCTGCGAGCCCCCCTCGTAAAACATGACCGTTAGGGATCGATCGATATCAATGCCAATAATGCCCCCCACAGCTGCACCCATGCCCACTTTTGTTGACGTGCAGAGAGTGGTCAATGTCGTACCCTTGGGCAAGATCAACTGTGGGTTCATTTTACCACAGGTATATATTTTACTAGTATGTAGTAGGACCGCCAACGACAGATATTCCGCGGCGTGCGTACTCCAGCACTGGCGACAGAGACTCGTGCTCCAGCGACGAAAACGCCTCCAGAACTCATACTACAAAACCTTTTTTTTGAAAGCGAGAGACGTGGGACGCTTCCTCTGACCGCCGTTGCTGCGTACCCAACGGAGCCGACAAACCTCCGCATGAGCGAAAGCATGGAGTCTTTTACTGCTGCTGCCGTTACGAACGAGTCACATCATGTCGATGTGGGTGAGGACGTGGAGGGCGGGCTGGGCGGGCTGGGAGAAGTTGGCCCAGAAGTTGGTTCACCGTCACCTCTTTGTGGGTCTGGGTCTGGAGGAGGTGAAGTTGGCGCCGCTAGCTCGCCCGCGCCCGCGTCTGCTGCAGATGGGCCAGCTGCAAGTCCAAGGGGTGCGATCCTGCCGACGTCTCCAGGTACTTACAGGCGTGCCATCACTGCGTTCATCGACGTACATTTCCAACTTCCCATCTGTATCGGCACCAATACCGCCAGCGAAACAAGTCAAAGTCAAAGTTGTTGTTTGTTTGTTGTTTGTTCGTTGTTGTTGTTGTTGCTCTTGCTCACAAGATCGCTTATTTGTCCAAGTACTTTGGCCCCTCTAAACCAAGCTTCGTTGAAGCACACAACATTATCAACCTTGCTCATGCTTCTACTTGCATTTGTTTGTCGTGTCCAGAGGACCTGGCGACCCTTCAAGGGGAGGTAGAAAACCTCCTTTTCCCCAACCTCGAACAGGGGAGCCAACAACAGTTTGGGGAGGCAACAATCGAGAACGCCGTGGGGATGCTGAAGGCGAAGATTGGGCGCGGCTACCCGCTTCAAAGACACAACAAAACAAAGGTGAGGTTTGGACCCTCATGTTTGCTAAGGTTACCCTTCACTGGCGTGAAGAGTGGACTTGCTGCGTTGTTGATACTGTCGGCTGCACGTGGACTCGTCTTGTAGGGTCGTTCGCCATGAGACCAGATGCACAGCCTGAAGGATTGAAACATTGAACGTTCGTCGTGAACGTTCGGCAAGGGCTGACGTCCAATGTGGTTTTTCTGCACCCCCTTCAGTTGTACACCAGAAAGCAGGAGGCGGAGCACGGCAGGCGCAATAGATGGAACTACGTGGAAATCGTCTGTCCTCAGGCGGGGTCTCCGCGAGCACGAGAACGTGTCGCGAATGCGAGCGCTCGCCGCAATACTAGCTCAGAAAAGGTGCGTCAGGATTGAGTATTGGTAACGCTCCCCTGTTGAATGTTAGAAAAAGGCAGGAAAATCACGACAAAGAATATCTCCCTGTTGTATCTCGTGTCGGGGAACAAGAGGAGAGGTCATCTCCCTTTCCACGCGGACACATTTTTTTCTGCAGCACCTGCACGAAACCTCCGCTTCCCACGCTGCGCCCCCCTGTGTACGATACGGTGTGCAAATTCCAGATTGGATGCGCTTTCGAGGTCGGATTGTGGTGGGCGGCCAACAGCCCTGCGCCGATCGTTGCGAAGGTGAGGTCATTTGCCATCAGTAGAAGCGGGTAGAAGCGGGTAACTGACGACGACGCAGCAGTAGTCTCGCCATGAATACGGTGAATGGACGAGCTCGATGGGAGCCACAGCCTACAGGGATCCGCGTCCGTACACAAGGGCTGGTGTAAAAATTCTGTGCGCCAGTAGACTGTTTCTTAGTAGTACGTGGAGGTAGACTCGTGAGAAGAAAGCCTATCGGGTTTCCAGTGTCAGCCTAGTTCGACGGTGGTTAAGCCTAAACAACCCTAAACCCTAACCCTAACCCTAACCCTAACCCTCACCCCAACCCAACGCTTGGTTGCTGGGCGTTGGTTAAGTGCTAGGTCGCTGCAAGTGGTAAACCTAGACTGCTGGCGCACAGAATTTTTACACCAGCCCTGGTGTACGGACGCGGGAGCCAGCCTACAGCGCTACCTTCGCAGCCACCCGATATTGCCTGGGGGGTGACCGAATGCCACGCCCACTTATGTAACCACAGAATCGCAAGCTTGCTCTTGCCACTATTTTGCTTCTCTACCGCTGCTTCTCTTCCGCTGCTCAGGGAAAACTTTGCCTCACGCACCACACGAAGACTTCCGGCGGGAAGGAGCACGAGCGCCCGCGAGCTATCGAGAACGAGATGAGCGTAGCGGAGATTGAGGCGAAAAGAGATTTTCTCCGTGAGCTGCACGCTTCTCGCGTCAAGACGACGGAGATCCACAAGACTCTCGAGCGCGTCGGCAAGAGGCTAGGACAAGCAGGAAAGCAAAAGGTGAGTGGCTGAGGCCGTTGTTCGTGGAGGTCATTTGTCAACGCGAGCGAGGTTGGTCGTCCAAACGAGTACACCACAGGAAACATCTCGCTTGTGGCAGTGCCCTCGCAGCCAATCATGTTTCTGTTGCATGGTGGCGACCGTACTTTTGGAGCTTTGTTTTGCTCGTTCGGCTCATGTATCTCGAAGTTGATGTTCCCGAAGTGTTCACACCATGTTCACACCGTAACGAAGCCGCTTTCGGGTGGTGCATCTGTGGATTCACGGCACCTTCAGGTGCGGACTATGATGGCCCAGTTCGATGCCGAACGGCAGGCGGAGAACGGGGCGTTTAACGACGCCCAGCTGCTCGTTGGCCATCTCCAGAACACTGAGGCCTTCCTAAGGTTCAAGCACGAGGATGGCCGCATGACCTGCATCGCATGGGCGTCTCAGGACCAGAAGGTCTTGGCGATGCGATACCACAAGATCATCATACAGGACAACACGTTCAACACCAACGTGTAAGTGCAGTGTTGAGCACGCAGGAACGTCGTGAATTGCTTCTCTGGTGATGGTTGGCGATACTTCTCTGGTGATGATGGGCGATATGTTTTGACTTCGTTTACTTCGGTTAGCGGCGGTCACCACCACTGTCATACCGGGATGGATTCAGTGAGCAAATGTATCAAACATAGGCGCTCAAGTCACCCATCGAAACCCCCACACCACCCCCACGCCTGCCCCTGGAGAACTCAGTTTGGCCGGCAGTATACACCCATGGAGTGAAGTGTCGCTTGATGGTTTCCCCACGATGTCATAGCGCACCATCGTACATCCGTTTGCCGTGCTTCTATGGTGCCATCTGCCAACCAGGTACAAGTTCTTCCTGGCACTCATCGTCGTCGTGGACAAGGAGAATCACACCCAGATAGCCATGCAAGCCCTGCTTGCGAACGAGCGATCAGAATCCTTCGAGTTCATCTTCGAGTCGTTCAAGGAGCTCTGTGGCGGAGGAAGCCCAGGGGTAAGACGATGACCCAGACCCCTTCATCGGAAACGTAGCGATGCCACGGGAGAATCGTATACGACTCCCCCCAAACAAATGGTGGCGCTGACACAACGAGATGAGACGGCGATGGATGCTCAAGTGCATGTCCGCGCCACGCGTTCAACTGACCTCCTTCTGTTGTGGTTGCTCGCACGTTCAATCAGGTGGTCTTCACTGACTGCGACTCTGCCGCGATGTTGGCGATCGCGAACGTGTATCCGTCGGCCCTGAACAAGTTGTGCATCTGGCACACCATGGAGAACATCAGGGATCATGGACGGGGTCTTGCCGAGGGTGTCCTTCCGGCCGTACTCGGCAAGTTCAAGGCAGCAGCGTACGCTCAAACACAGGAGGTGAGATACACTCGACCCTGTTTCGTTTACTTCTAAAGATGGGATATTGTTTTAGGTGCACCGGTGAAAGTTAACCGCGACAATGGTCGTCTTACCTAGTTAGTGAGTAGACGAAGGAAGCGGTCCGCTCTCGTTTTTTCATTTCATTGAGCGTTGACGTAAACGTGTACCCGCCCCCCCCCCCTTCATCTATGGTCTTCGCTCGCTTCACTTTGTCTTGCTCCCGCAGTATTTCCTACAGCTTCGAGGGGAGATCCTGGACATGTTGCCCCCGGAGAGCCACATGTACAAGTACATGGCCGTCAACATCTTTGGCGCAGAGTAAGCACCGTCTGGCATGATGGCAGCCGCTACGCTACGGAGAGTTGACGTTTTCCTCCGTGAGACCTCGGTCGGTTGATCATGTCATCCTCTTTCCGCCTCTCACACTCCCTTCGGCCCTCAACGTGCCTTGAACAGGCGGGCCGGCAAGTGGGCTTCGTATGTTCACCCTGGGCTGCACACGCTCGGCATTGCCTCCACGCAGCGAGTGGAGTCGATGAATGCGGCGGTAAAGGCAGTGGTGACGAGGAAGGGCAGTATGATGGACCTCAACGATGGGATCATGGCCAAGGTTCAGGACGGCATGGCGAAGACCGAAAGGTGCGACTCCGACACGACTCCGACAGTATTGTGGCGCGTTTCTGCGCCACTGTCTGAGGTACCACGTGACCGAAATGCCTCGACCTGTTGACGTCAACTTGTGTGGCGTCCATGTCTTTTGGTGAACTGCTCAGGAAGAAGGTGGTAGCTTGTTGCCGACATGAACATCTTGTAGCATTCGTTCTCAAGCGCTCTCGAAGGCCCGCCCGTCGACAGCAAAGCGCCAATAGTTTTCCCGAGGGTTTCGCGACGATTTTCCGTTGTTGCGTGCCGGTTGCATCGAATTTATGGAGGTCCCCCT